AAATTTAAATCTAATTCAATGTACAATTGATGAACTTTTCCGGACACTAAGTTGTTTTTTTCGATGAACCAGCTTGTGATGTTTGGAAGGATTTGATTTCAACCAATTCGGTCTCTCGTGTTGTTACGAGTATGAGGGCGGTTGTCACTTCCCGGCTGCCCACACAGTGGAAGGTTGATTCTTGAGGAACCTAAAAAAGAAGATAGATTAGTGTCGGTCTTAACGACATGGCAGCGTGACCGCAGAGCCCAAGGGACAACTGCTTGAGGCCGGTCACAGACGGCCTTTTTATGAAAGGATTTTTGAGTATTAGCTCCGCTGTTAAAAGCCCTTAGTGGGCACCCTTACCCAAGGAGACGGAAATCCGTGAGGTAGGGTGAGGTGTGACATTTTTAGGGTCGACCTCTTCTAACCCTTTCCTTCCTTGTGAGAAGGTAGCATCGTTGCAGATGCTGGTTGTCCGAGGGAAACACCTTCCTGCTGTCACACCCCTCTACAGTCAGCAGTACGACTTCGCCCTCAGACCTTGAGTAGCTGCTTTTAGTCTCATCGTTCACCAATCGACCTGCCTGGCATGGTAGAACCTTCAGGAACATATGTTCCAGCCAATATAGCTCGATCGGGGTCATCACCATAGGCAAGCCCGACCACCATGTCAAGGTAGCAGCTACGGTCGGGTGTGATGTTTTGATACAATGGTGATTTGTTTGTGCATTACCTGCTCCTAATTCAGAATCCAAACATAATGCAGCAAATTATGCTCACGTTTTTTGTTTTGACTTCAAAACTAATCTATTCGGGATTGTTAGACCAGTATACAAAATTCGAGTACTTCTAAATATTACTGATTTGTAACTGCTAACTTTTGCCAGTCCCATTTGAATGATTTTTCAGTGCATTTATATATGATAATAACGAAAGAAACTAGTGTCATTTCACTTGTAATTAAACATACACTATCCTTCATAAACTGTGGTCTCTACAAACACCTATAAGTAACCTCGTTGTCGATTTGTTGCCGCCTGTGATATGCAGTATGGTAAATACAAAGAGTGGTTACATGAAGTATGTATACATCTCACAACAGCTTCTAACAGTTAACATAATCACTTTCATCCCGAATATATAACATGACTGTCTCTGTAATTCCACCCCTCTTTTCTGGCACGATTTTGATATTCTTACGATACCATGAAAACGCCAGCAAATATATTCTTTGGTATGGATTAACTTTTCTTCTCATAATAATTGGTCTGAGTGGTGATATTAGTCGATTTCGACTTGACGCGCCATCACATTGTAGTTAATCCACTTTTATGAAGAGAACGCGATTGGTTTAATAGAAACATTCATTATTAAAATCAATTGTACAAGTGACTGTGTAACTGTACTTTTTGTTTATAACACCGTTTACACTCAAACTTCCGTTTGTGTTGCTGCCATTTTTCGCCGCACCGTCTCTGTAATTTCGCCCCTCTTTTCTGGCACGATTTCGGTATTCTTTTGATAGCACGAAATCGCCAGTAAATATATTCTTTTATATGGAATAACCTTTCTTCTCTGTGACGGAGCACGGTTCACGTTGATGTGTTGAGAAAAGCAGCCTCTTTCTCGATAGCAGCTTTTAGGCTACTTGTCCAAACTAAATCATACGTGGTCCCGCACAATTTGAAACATGAACATATCGTTTCAACCTTCAAGTCACTCCCTAACCCCAACTCTTCGCATCGTCGGATAGTAACCATATTTTCAGTACCCTCAAAAGTCGTGGAATTCCTTGTTCATAACGGCCTACATGATTGTCCAATGTCAATAAATTTCTCCTCACGTCAGGAGCAAGGTTTAGAGATGGAGCACTCGTGCATCAGGAATGTGCTGTCTAAAGTAGAAAAATGGACAACCATCCTCAATCAAAATAGGAGGATGAAAATAGTTTATCACGATTTCTCTCATAAACATGTCTGTGATACTATGACGTATGTTGTTTCCGATTTATAAAAATAACCTTCACGAACAAGCATCCTTTCTGCCGATATTTATATTGACTAAACTGTAGAATAAACAGTAACTGTGTTGTGGTGAAACGAATCCAGAACTGAACAAGTCTAGTTTGATTCTCATTGCATTGAAGTGAGTTCAAACTGTTCAGAGTGCCAGCTAGTCAATGTGTCTAAAGTATCTATCTACCAACATTATAATGGAGCATAACGAATAGATAAACAACCAAACGGGTAGCCAAATTAGAGTGTATTAGAAGGGTTCACATATGATGTGTTCGAACTAATTAGAATTCTGAGCTCTGGTTAACTCATACAGTCGAGCTAATACATTCGGCATTCACATGTTCAGTTATGTATCGCATTATAAAATGATCATGTCTACGTTAAGTACTAAAATTAATTTTCTAATCTCCTCAGTTGCAAACTATGCATCTAACCTAAATGGTTCTTCTCGTGCTTGATATCTTCTTTTCTTGAGGTCCAAAATCATGTACATTCTGTGAAAAAGTACTTTAGGGAAAAAAAATTGAACGATAATTTTCAAAAGCATTTTCTGTTGGGTTGACAACATTACATTTTACTCAGTTGGCAACAGTTACATTCAATTCCAACAAGAATTTGCGGGTGATATTTCCTCCTTTACTCCGTAGAGATGATAATAATCTAGAGGTGAGCCACGAAATTCGTGTGGAAGACTCAAATTGAAAACTTATATAGGACGTCTTTAGTGACTGGATCTCTACATGTTAAAACACAGGTATCTAATATGTGAACTCTTAGTGACTTACAGTATCTTAAACACAAATGGAGTGCTTTGGAGTACTTGCATAAGTTCACTTCGATGGAGTTACTCGGAAGTTAAAGTTACAATATAATGAACTAGAATCTGATATATTCTTAGGTATTCAGGACAGTATATCATGCTTATTTGCCAACACATTTTTTCCAACTGGAGATATCGACGAGCGAATGCTCGAAGACATGGAAGCTCGTTAAACGCCAGTTTCTTCTGATCCGATCAAAATCACATGAAATTGTCGTGCCTTCGTTGACCTCCTACAATTTACATGAAACAATCCAGTTTTGGACATCAGATTGGGATAGTCAATCATCCCCGAAGATATAAAAGTTGTCTGTGTTAACTGGTAGATAATCTGAGTACTAACGCAGACAAAAGAAATCATTCCAAGTCAGAAACAATGTGAGTTAGGTCTAGCTGTCTCCATCAGCTGCTCTCTTGCTAGTTGCTTCGTGAGCATACACATTCATACACTCGTAAACACAGAACTTGTGGAAATGTTATTTGATCCACGCGAAGTTACTTACTAAGACGGTCAAAAGTAAAGTTACAATTTCGGGTGACTTTCAGGTTTTATTCTTCTGTAGTTATATTTAATATTATTGTTTTTCTCTCCCAATTATCTTATTATTCATCGCTTATGCTCTCAGGTATCATGTCAAGTAATAAGGTTGGAACCACTTCTTGCAATATAACAACTTGGAAAACCTGTAAAGGTATGAATCACGGGGTCAGTAGTGAGTCGAAAATCCTAGTCTTGAGCGATGTAGCTGTGAAAAAGCTCGAAATGTCAGTTTACAGAGTACTTCAGTTCTCAGTCCGGATTACTCGACCCAAACACCTACACTGAATTTCTGATAAAGATTCTTACTCTTAAAAAGATCACTAGCAAAATAAGAATGGGAGAAAAGAGCGTCCCGAAGCTCAACTTACACGGTCAATCGTTCAGAAGTCACAACAGGAAAACTGTATTGTTTGCTCAAAGCCAGTCAAAACCAGCGACTTTGCTTCTGAATGCAACTTCTGTAGTATATGGGTCCATCGTTAATGCTAAAATACAGTACTCAGAGGGTACTACGGCTACATGCTGAATCACCTCTGTCCGTAGTTCTGGTATATACGTTCACAATGCAGAATCACCGAGACAACAACAAAATTAGCATCAGCAAAGCCAGAGGCCGCACAAAATATCAGCCTACAAATCCCTACAGGTAAACCTAAATCGCCCAGCACTAAACCACCGAAACAGGCGAAAAGAGTAGCCATAACCCGAACCAACATCCCGAAAAAACTGCCAGCTTTTGTACCTCCCCCCCAATATCCATTAGCAGTGCGAAACAGTGGGTGAGTGTAAAAAAGGATACTGCTACACCACAGCTCGCAATATGTTACAAATCAGGGACAGGGATGTTAGACTAAATTCACCAATTTTATTTATTGCCCCAGTGTTGTACGGTAGCCCACTAGAAAGTAGGGTTGCTTTTGACTAAGAACAATGGGACAAGAACTGCCCAATCCTTCGAATGAGCCAAAATATGCCATCTTTTCAAAGTTCAGAAAGAAGCAAAAGCAAAAGCCCCTTCGATGAGGGTAACATTAGACTCAGCTAAGTCGTCCTCTCCGATCAGAGTCAGACACAACAAACCGTAGTCAGTACCAGCAGAAGCCAAGATATCACAAGGCACCCAAGGGCAAACCAGCATGGTAGTTCATGGCTTACGCGATTAGGTTGGCGTTAGTGCACTCAATTAATCTATCTCGCCTATTACCTCTGTTTCCTCTCCCTTGCTTAGACTTTGGTCCTCTCTCACAATCCTCACTACCAATTAACAAACTGAATTCATCTATATATTACTCAGTTTTGAAATTTTATTCATATTATCATTTTAATTTATCCTTATTACCCTTATTACTCTCCACATTGTAACCAACTGATCTCCGGTTTGGTAATATGACGGTTGCTAGTATCCTGAAACCCTACTTCCCTGAAACAAACGTTTCATTCAAATCCCGAGACATACAAACTCACAACCAACTGCCAACTGACTAGAATTAGACAGTCGAATGGCTAGACCTCCATCCATTGGACATTACTGAACACCTGGAACCGTACCGAAAGAACAGGAATCGAGCGTGAAGAAATCAGATTGGTTTACACTAGCTCGTGAAAAAGATATTGGATATTGAATGTCAGTTGACCTCGATAAACCACTAATTGGGCATTGAAAGTTCGTACCAAAACCAAGTTATACGCTGCTAATTCCAGAGGATGTTCGATAGTGTGTTGAGATTTGACACTCATAATGTCTTTAATTAGATGGGACAAAACACAATGTATCTATTTTAGAAAACCCCTTTTTCTGATATAATTGAATTTAGTTATGAAGTAAGTATTAAGCGAGCATGTCCTGTTTACAATAATTTTCTGATCACTTCATATTTATAAATAAAACATTGCAAATATCATTGTATCCAACCTCTGTTACTCAGGTTTACCATTATTATGCTGAGTAAAGGTTTGATAGTTCTGATAAATCGCTTTCAGTAGTGACGACTTGTTTTTTTAAGATATTGGTCTTAAACAGCATTCTCAGAGTAAGTATTTCCACTCTCATAGAGTCTAGGTATGTTTAAACTATAGTTGTAAAGCGCTGTCTGTCATCTAATCACGAAGAATCTGCCTTTTTGTTTCGAAAGTTAGTTGCTCTCTTCCCCAATCGCTGGATTATATCTACACATGGCATCTTTGGCGCATTCAAGATTGTTACAAATATTAGGGGAGAAATCCGACATTCGTGCTCGTGCTTAAATATATTTCTATAATCTTCACGATTTAAGTTATCTTTTAGCCTCTAGTTTCATAGAAAGAGCTGTATTTAAACGTACTACTCCGTAGCTTTAGTGTGTGTAACCCTAGGGTTTCAGGAAAATTTTTATTACAAGCTCCAAACGATACCCAGGTTTCACCATAGTTTGTTGCTTTATGTTTTTTACAATGGTTAGTGACATTAACGTAATCTCACCCCGTACTAAGTCATGCTACAATCCGTGGATGCTGTCTGCCCCCCTTCCTACTTCAAAACTAGGTTATATCACAGTTCTCTTTCAATATTTAAACGATACTGGATACTAGGGGGTTATAGGATACCGTTTATCTGACCTCAAGTATTTCATGTAGAAGACTTACATAACTAAGATCGAAAAGTCATTAACAGTTGTAATGAATACCGTGTATAAAACCGACTAGTCATTTGTTGTTTGAAACCGAAGGCTGCGTAAGTCGATACCCAACGTAATTACTGATTCAAAACAAAACAAAATGAAGGTTTCGCGGTGTTCAATTGTAGGCTATATAAAATCCGTATTATTCAGAATATTCAGCAATCTTAACTCTTATGTATTCAGTAGCGAGTTACATCACTCTACTAATGACTGGTACAGAATGCGAATTCATTAAACAACACATCGTTTTGGGTTGTCATATTCCAAGTAATTAAGTCTTGTTCCTCTTCTGTTTTTGTTGAAGCCTAATAAATCGAATTATTGTGTTTCGGAACAAAGATGGAAATCAACTAAGGGTAAAAAGCAAGACAATATATATCAGAATAAGTAACTGTGAAACATTAGAACGCCCTTGCGACAAAACTTAACCCGTTTTCTGTACAAGAATAAATCTTGGTTCACTCATTCAGCTCGTATCACTACTGATCTGTATGTATTATGGATTATAACCAAGTAACATTCATTTATATTCATGAGTTTAATCAATAATTAGTGATCCTATGATTCAGTTTATCATTTCGTTTGATTGTCTTGCAGTAAATATTTCTTCCAGAATGATAAGTTTTAACATTAGTGCAGAATCATATGTTAACCAAATGAAGATTGTATCTTATGAATTCACTAATATACTTTATTAAGAAAGGATGTTTGATAATTACTTACTGTAGCCCTCATTCTTTGTTCCACAAACCGGTATCTTAAAGTTTAACATTTGTTTTTGCGCATATCGCCCTAACAAGTAAAATCGGTGCCTTATAATTAAGTCTTTTTTTCATTACAGTCCCTTATCACAGCAACATAGTGTAGCTAGTATCGGAAGCTTGTTGGGCAACTTACCTTTACAAGGAGATTCAAGTTTACAACAAAAAACTCCACTTATTCCTGGAGGTTCAGTCAATCTTAGCTTACATGTGTCTGACAATGCCATCAGCATTCCAGGAAGAACACCTTGTACTCCGCTCACTTTATCTACTCCGCTGCAGGACCGAGACGGTGCAATCCCGGTACCCCAATTACAGTAAGTTCAGCTAATTAAAATTTAGCTTAGTACCTCAGTCACTGTCTATATTTGGTTATTCCTTCATAAAGTTTTTATAGATTTTCCACTGTATTGTATGACATTCCTAACGTGGTTAAAATAAATTTCGTGTTCTAAACTGACCAGTGATTTGAAAAAATGACTAGAAACGTTTGTCAAATCAACAGTGAACGGTTTTGTTTTCACTTCCTCAAACATATCATCATTCACGATTTGTAGTCTTTAGCATCTTAGTATAAACTCTTCTGTTGTGACATGAAATGCATCATTTAGACAATCTTATAAATGTGTAAATTTGTTCATAACCGTTTCGCACTGGTGCAAGTGCATTTACTCGTTGTCTTTCCTTAGATCCTGAGTCATGAAATGTACACTAAATTTGTTCTATTATTGATACTATTACTACTACCCCTGAAGTTGTCTTGGCAATTTTATCTCATCGCTAATGTGGCGTGATAACTTGAGCCAATGTACATTTGTGTCAGATTCTACATTGAATATAAATGAGATAAAATATACATATTATCTCAAACTCCGATGCTTTAAAAATGTAAGAGCAAAGCTGCTCCCAAAAAAGTACTACGGGTGTATCATAATAATAAACGGCGAGTACTGTCTGCACTGGATATTCACTCACTACATCCAAACTTCTATACCAGTAATTCCAGCTAATCTATATATCTAATGGAGAAAGCATACTTTGTCCATACAACGTACATACCATACAAGTCAATAATCTTATTCATCCTCAACAGCAACATAGAACTTTACACGTACGTACATCAGTTCAAGATGACATACCGCATTAACAAAGAGATGTAATTGTCAATTCAAATCCCATAGTAGTAGACGTAATAAAAGTATTAGAAGTAATCGGAGAGATTAGAGTTCGAAGATGTCAATCAAGAAGTATAATTCAGTGAGGTAAATTTAGAAAGAGAAAGATAGAAGTGATGTGGAATTCAGAAGGTTAGAATTTCATAGAACACAAAGAATAAATGCACCTGCGCCATTGCAAACGGTTTTGAGCCATGTCATTCAGAGTCTCTAACCATCGATTAATATCATCTCGCGGACCCCAACCAGGTAGTCGACAACTACCGACATGACTCAGTTCACTTGTCAATGACTTCATGGATTTGTGCCATGTTTTGGTTTGGCTGTCCCTAGCTTTCGTCCAAGCTATTCCTATATCGCAAAACATAGCTTGACGAGGCAGTCGGTGGTTAGGCATACGCAACATATGTCTCAACCATCTCAACTGATTATTAATTGGTTATTAATTATTGTCATTTTGTTCTGACTATTTAATCGGTTGGTCTGTACCTATATACCACACAGAAGATAGATAATGGTTTGTAGTCTAGATTCTTTGATGAACATATATTCATAATTAAACTTATTCTTAAAACCAACCCATGAGTATATCCTTTTAAATTATTGTTAATTTGATCTCTTTTTGATCAATCAAGTATTTTTATTTGTCTATCTTAGCTCTTACTTGTCCTTTTTTTCTCTGTTTTCAAACAAGGAATATTGTGTGCACAGTATATTTAGGATGTAAATTAAATTTAAAAAATATAGCACTTAGTGCACGAAATGCTGAATACAATCCAAAACGTTTTGCTGCTGTCATCATGCGTATACGTGAACCTCGTACAACTGCATTGATTTTTTCTTCTGGTAAAATGGTTTGTACCGGTGCAAAAAGTGAAGAACAAGCAAGACTAGCTGCAAGAAAATATGCACGTATTATTCAACGGCTTGGATTTGAAGTAATTCTATCATTGTGTTATCTATTTTCAATGCTATTATTCATTTAGATTCGTTTATTTACTTAATTCACACACACACACACTCAGGTACATATTTGAGCATCATAAAAATAGTATGTACCGCACCAAATAGAATCTGTATATGATCTTAGATATTACTACCTAGATCCCCAAAAACTGATCTATGTGGTTTTTATACCGGGACATTCCATGAGCCTCTGTTTCTGAGGTGTATAATCTACAAGATGGCAGACAGTCAATCAATCAATCAATAGCAACGTCGAACTTCGTACGTATGTACATCAGTTCATGTTGCCATACTACATTAGCACACAGAGATGTAATTGTCAATTCATATCCAATAGTAGTAGAGGTATTAGAAGTAGTCGGAGAGGTTAGGATTAGAAGATATTAGTGAAGAAGTAGAATCTAGTGAGATAGACTTAAAAGGATAAAGATAAAGTGATGAAGAATTAAAAAGTTTAGGGTTTGAGAGAACCTAAAGAATGAATGCACCGGCGTCATTGCAAACAATTCTGAGCCATGTCATTCAGAGTCTCTAACCATCGATTACTAACATCTCGCGGACCCCAACCAGGTAGTCGACACCTACCGATATGACTCAGTCCACTTGTCAGTGACTTCATGGATTTGTGCTATGTTTTGATCTGGCCGCCTCTAGCTTTCGTCCAACCTATTCCTACACCGCAAATTAGAGCTCGATCAGGCAGTCAGTGGTTAGGAATACGTAACACATGTCACAGCCACCTCAACTGATGAAGTTTCACTACTTCATCTATTGATCTGCCATCCTTACCTAACACCCGTTTCCTAATAACACCATTGCTCACTCGGTTGTCCCAGGATATACGAGCAATGCTTCGGAGACACCTATGATTGAAGACCAGTAACCTACGAATATCTACTTTGACTGGCCATGTTTCACAGCCATATAGTAGAACAGAGCGAACTACCACGCAGGGTGGCAGATAGTAGGACTTCCTCTGCACTCTATAAACGCTTGATCGATATATAAGCATTTCGAGAGAGGAAGCAAACTCTTCTCATCCTTAGTTGTACCATGGCATTTGGAAGTAATTTATTCAATTACTGCACATTTAAATCTTATTTGTGGTTAGTTTGCTGAATACTTGTTACAGATATTTTTGGTATGTTTATTTATCCTGTTATATGATGAAATATGATGAATTAGGAAATTAACAGATTGAGTCAACTGTAGCTTGTAATTATTTCAAAAATTGAGAATGATATAATAAAGCAACTCACAATTAATTTTAAACTATAGTTTTTATTCATACCTTGTTTTACTATAATTTCATTCGATTGTACTATATATATATATATATATATATATATATATATATATCCGTCTTTAATGTAAGTGACATATTTTTCAGGCTCATTTTAAAGAGTTCAAAATTCAAAATATGGTCGGTTCATGTGATGTCCGCTTCCATATACGTCTTGAAGGCTTAGTACTATCACAAGGTCAATTTGCAACGTAAGTTGTTTTTCTGTAGTGTATGCCTTTTTAATTAGTAACCGCGTCAGTCAACCGCTAAACTAGCTATTAAGTTTTTTTTCATCTTATCTGTTGAAATATTTAGTAAATTTCCCGTCAACAACACTCTCTATCTGTAAAAGTGTATCAAGTTTGTTTTTTTCCATGATATAAATATGTATAACTATTCATACTGTCGCTTTATATCTCAAAATAACTATGGTTTTGCTCATTACCGATTGAATCAAGTCGCCACGTTACTCAACCATACAGAAAGATGAAAATATGAACAAAATAGTTATCATGTATTCATTATTCTAGATAATATGATATGTGCATAGAACCTGTTTTAATAATTCGACAACCTATTTATTATCTGTAGTTTATGATATGCTAAACGATTTAGAATTACACATGAAGTATAAATGCTCTGATTGTTTAGTCAAATAACAATACACGGGTAACTGAAAAATTAATTTCCAATTTAGTTCTGGTTGACTTAGTATTGTCTAGTTAAGTTGACAGCTTTTGCTAATTTACGTTATTTATGGCGTAGGCGAGATATCCGTTTACTAACCAAAGGTCGAGTGTACTGTGCATCAGTTCTCTTTGTTCTCCTATATCGATGCGAAACATGTCCGGTAAGAGTAGCAGACATTCGTAGGTTACTGATATTTGATCATAGATGTCTTAGAAGCATTGCTTGTGTATCATAAAACAACCGAGTAAGCAATGCTGCCATCAGGAAACGAGTACTAGGTAAGGATGGTAGATCAATAGATGAAGTAGTGAAACTTCATCAGTTGAGGTGATTGGGACATGTGTTATGTATGCCTAACCACCGACTGCCTCGACGAGCTATGTTTTGTGGTGTAGCAGTAGGTTGGAAGAAAGTTAGGGGGCGGCCAGACCAAAACATGGCACAAATCCATGAAGTCACTGACAAGTGGACTGAGTCATGTTGGCAGATGTAGCCTACCTGGTTAGGGTCCATGAGACGAAAGTCCACCGATGGTTAGAGACCTTGAACGACATGGCTCAGAATTGTTTGCAATGGCGCAGGTGCATCCACTCTTTGTGTCCTCTCAAACCCTAATCTTCTGGATTCGTCAACACCTCTACCTTTCTGTTTCTAAACTTATCTCACTGAATTATACTTCTTGAATAATATCTTCGAAACCCTAATGTTCTCTATTACCAGTAATACTTCGAGATGGTGGAGAAAACTTGTAGCTCAGGTGGATGATTGTGGTAGTGTTTCGTTCCCTGAGCTGGTTGTTTTGGTTGTGGAGCTTTCATTGTTCTTCTGAACAACATCATCAACACAAACTTCAGATAGAAGTGAAGCATTGGAATTTCTCCTCGTTTGACCTGTAGCTTGTTCTGCTAACCTCGATCTTGATTGGTTGCTGTTGGCCTTTGACCTGTCGTTGTTTGAACATTTATTTTGATTGTATCCCTCACTTTTGATCTGTTTCTTGATCCTGTGTCACCTATGATTTTCCTGATTGGTTGATAAATTGGGTCAATGTCGATGTGTTTGTTGATTGCTAATTGACCTGAGTGCCAAGCTTCTAAAAATTCTCTAGTGTTCTTTTTCCTTCCCCTACTCAGTAATTCCACATTGTTCCAATCAAATGTGTGTCCATAATTGTCAATTGACAATTATGAAGCTCCACAACCAAAACAACCAGCTCAGAGAACGAAACACAAGCAGTAATACTTCTACTACGTCTACTACTATGGAATTTGATTTGACAATTGCGTCTCTGTGCTAATGTGGTATGGCAACCTGAACTGATGTACTTACGTACGAAGTTCTACGTTGCAACTGACTAACATAGATGATTCTGTTCGAAAATTCTAAAGACATGTGTTATCACTATCAATCTGTACGTTGTTACGAAAGCCTTTACTGTTGTTTAGATTCATTGCATTCAACTGTTCACATTCTAATTCACTTTCATTCAACGAAATAATATCTGTACAGTAACTAAAATCACAAAGTGTGCTTCATCCTAATGTTACTACTTTCTACAGTAAAAAGGTTTCGTAATTAAAATCATAAATATCATGTTGTTAACTCTTTCATTTAAACGCATTATTTTTCCTCAATTTTTTTTATAAATTTGCTTACTTGATCCATAAGATTTGGTATAACTAGGCACAAGAAATAGTTTGCGCTACGCACTATAAACAGATACCATCACGAAGAAATAAACTGTAAGGGAGTCAAAGTTCTTACAAGAAACATACAAAGCATTACGATCGCCACTGATCCTTATTTTGAACTATGTCTAGTAATGTCTCAACCCAATGAGTAGTTATACCATCTCTAGCAGGCTGCAGGTTGTAATGCAAATCGACACAGGTGCCAATCACATTTCTTTAACAAAAACCATATCGTAAATCGTTAATTTGCAGAATATCAGTTCATCATATCGAATTGGACTGTTCCTGTTGCAAAACATCAATCCATTGTCACTACTATTCATGCGTTTCATACAAATTCCATTGTGTTCTTCTAACTCTTCCTTTCTTGATCTTCCCCTATCTTCTGCTGCCAGACATTACGTTGACACTCACGTCATATACTACTTATAAGTAGCTCACACCACACTAGTAATAGCTAATTCAATCAAATGGAGATGATATATGTATATACTGTCCTTGAGTTTATTCTATTTGATGATAACTCGAATTAAATTGATCTTTGATTTATCATATCACAAATATTGTCTATCTCATATTAACAATTTTCGTCCTTGTAAAGTGCATTCATACAGTACATTTTGATGGTATCTTATATAAAATAATATAAATTATTCTTTTTTGTTTAACAATTTTAGCTATGAACCAGAATTATTCCCTGGATTAATTTATCGTATGACTAAACCGAAAATTGTTTTATTAGTCTTTGTTTCTGGAAAAATTGTTTTAACCGGTAAGAAAGAGGAAATGAATTTCTTTCAATTAAAACATAAAATATTCTTCAATAAATACTCTCCGTGTTATTGTTACCACTATTGATACTCACGAATTTGTTAATGTAAATAAATCTAACAAGTTTGATATTGAAGATAGATAAAAGTTGTTTTGAAGATAACAATTGAAACGATTAAATTTATAGAAACGGATGATTTTTATTAGTCTTGAGATCATCAACTAGACACATTTACTTGGTAATTTTATATTGTTTTAGTTTTGTGACTCTTCAGCTGCACTAAGTAACCAAGCTTTATTAGCAAATCATTACCCGCAACTGATTCGTGTGCTCACTTTTAAATCACTTCACTTCTAGGGCCTAATAATATCCTCCTATTTATTGAGACCAAAGTAGGCAGGGATGCGCTCAGATCTGTGATTGAAAGTCGAATGCCTTAGTCACTGAACTACCGCTCCACTGACTAAGCACAAGTTTACATACAGGTGTTGACTACAACTTCCAATCCAGCAGATACAGAGTTGTACGGTGACCTGGGAAATATCAGCGGACGAAAACGAAGTTATTGCCTATTGTATGCTATAGTTATCGGTAGCACAGCACAAATCACGCTTAGGACATTGTTAGTATATTGACAACTTTACCAGCCAATTTCAAAACTATCTGGCATAATTTAGCCTAGTGGATAATTGTTTATACAATTACTAACATAGTTGCATGTATTTTTGTTTCACTTTTTTTATTACCATGTATAGGAGCAAAGGTTCGTGAAGAAATTTATGAAGCTTTTAATAATATTTACCCAATTTTGAAAAACTTTAAAAAATCTGATAAAGACCCTAGAGCCCTCACATCATCATCGAATTATATACACCAATTAACCTGAATTAAATTTTAAAAAATCAGGTTTTTAAACTTGTTTGCAATAAAAACACTAACATTACAAGATACTCCTCCTCCTCCTCTCCTTTTTTTTCACAGATTTAATTGTTCTTGATAATAACATCATCAAAAACCTTAAGTTTCTGTGAAATGAAAAATTGTATATTTTTCCGCAACTTGCGGCTTATTTGTACACTTTATTCAAAGATTCTATGCATATTCATTATTTTTCAACAAGCTATATCCTTAGTGTTATCTTTTTACATTTAGTTCAGTATTGTGATTGATGTCATTGTGAATATTTAAAAAATTAACGGTATCATTCCTGTTTTTTTTGACCGATTTCGCAATGTAGAAGCTTCGTAACTAGACAATCTAGAACTAACAGTTTGTTAGTTGAAACGTCTTTACTTTACATGATTGTGTACACTTGTCAATACGAAGTCTTTGCATCAACTTTATACTGTGTAATTGGTTATTATGCTGTGTTAGTTCCCAACCTTCATACTAATGAGTAATGATCAAAAAAACCCTTCTAATTGATGCCTCTCGAGTGAAGTACATTTTCATGTATTTGGTCATGAACCATACAGTGAGAGTTGGTTGTGTGGTATGAGTGAACAAGGCCAAGTCGACGTAACAAGGTTCAAACTTGTAGCCCATTGATTAAGAGTCAGGTTGTAGAGCTAACGACTAAGACGATATAACAGTTATCCGGAAGATACTAGGGCTATTTTAAATTAAAGAATATCTTTTGACGTCAAATACTGTTTTACCTGAACATCTTAAGTAAAGGATGAAAATATTACGAATTGACCGTGGGAATATCGTCTTCACAGTTAGTCCATGACATGAATGAACATCGTTCCAACTCGAGACATCCTGTACCATCAGACTTTAGGTACTGCATAAGATTAAGGGTCACGAAAATTTACAAATGAATATTTTTCACATAGACGTGCCTGGTTGCTTGGTGCCTAACGAAATCGTGGCATGCACTCAGGAAGTTAACTTAGTTTTCGCCAGCTTTCTGAACTTGGGATAGAGATGAGGAGTGTATCTGCTTACCAAAAGATGAGTATAACGTGCAGTAGTTCCATATGCTTAGTATTAGGACTGAAGAGGACATTCGCAGTATACCGTCATTTGACCATAAGTGTCCTTGAAGCATTGTCTGGATGACCGAGCGAGGATTACTGGCATTAGTAGCAGAGCACTGAGTAGATGCACCAAACAAGTTGATAAGGCTGTAAATCTCAAATTGCGTGCTGCTTATCTCAACCTCTAATGTTGTCCGCAGGCAAAAACGGCTGAAGTCCCATTTACTTTGAGAAAAAAATACTTACAAATTGGTTCAAACGTGGGAGCTGCAAGGGTATCGTCATCACATTTGCGCATATCGCCGGGATTTCAGGATGGTGAAAGTAACTGAGTTGTCATCAGTGTCCAAAGCATATTATCCAGCGTTAGGCTCACTAACATCCCGTCACTAGCCATCAGATAATGTCATCTTTAGCTCCCAGGTAAGATTCCATAAGCATAAAAGGAGACTGACATTGCCAGCACATTAGAAACCCGGTCTTCTATGGTCATGTTAGCATAATCCGCCCCGACCCGTCTAAAACTAGGCTGAGCTTATCAGTTAGGCAACCACTATTCCAATTACTGCATACAATCTTACTGACTACTGTGGTGGTGTTTCGCTCTCTGAGTTGGTTGTTTTGGTTGTGGAGCTCAGAGAACGAAACACCACCACAATCATCCTCATGAGCTACAAGTTTTCTCCACCATTACTGACTACTTCTAACAGCTCATAACAAAATGAATGAGCACATATCCGACCAATCTTACAAACGTAAATAGCAAGTAGATGCATAGCGCACACTATAAAGAGACGCCAAAAGAGCACGAGTTTGCAAAATTAAGGTGTATTACTTGTCCCTGAAGTCGTTAACCATTGGTCCGGGTGAAACCACGAGCGATGCGGACTGGCATGATCGCAAACCAATCCAGGCCATATACTTACACTTAGTATTACATCATTCCTTGTGTTCTCTTTCTTCATATTTTATCACCCAATGTTTGTTATGTGGACGTGACTACTTTGAAGCTCAAACCCCTATCACTCCGAATGATTCACACCAACCAGGAGCTTAGATGTTCTGATTAAAGTGAGAATAACCGCGGCTCACATCAGTACGAACACCGAAGTCGAGATACGAGAAGACTCATATGACTAATCACCGACTAGAAACGCGGTTCTGATCCTACCGCCGGCCTCATAAAAAATACACCAAAACTATTGATAACGCTACATCGAGGTACGTAGACACAGGATTTTTAGTTTTGACTGTCAACTTGAAACTGCGAGACCGCAATTTAGGTATCCAACTTTATCAAGTTTACCCCACTACTGGTACTTCCATTGTAACGACTGATTGGGTAATCATCTTATATCACTGAAGTTCTTCGATGTGCAAATACGGCAAACTGATGCCCTCACAAATCAAAACCATAACTTAGTAGACAGGCCAATTTGAAGCTAAAACCCTTACAGCCATGTTTTAGGTAAATTGTAGACAAAATTTTACAAACTCTACAAATATTGATTATCACCCACAAATATCATTTGAAATACGTCTGCCCTTTCAGTCAGATGTATGGATGTAGTTGTGGAAAACTTTCACATTTGGCACATAAGATCTAGTTAGTTAGTCCTTTCCTGTCAGATTACTGAGAGCTATGATTAAGTTGAAGCTAGTTACCGAGGAGCTCTGTAACCAAGTTTCAATAATGAATAGAGCTAACTAGGAAGCTCTACAAAACCACTTAGACTAGATTTTAGTAATCATAACAGCAACATGTTGAACAGTTAGACAGAACTTAACGCAGTTGTGGAGATCATCCAAAAGATTACAGGTCACGTCTTAAAGGGCACATGCTTCGATTACATCCACAAACTTAACTAATATCGGTACAAAACGAGTCAAATAACAAAACACAATTACCACAAAACGTGTAATACAAATTATGACTCAATAGTTTCCTCTGTATATTTGTTCTTGTCTTGTCCAGCAAGTTTTCCGGCAGCTTTACGTTCCAGCAGTGAACGACGATCTTTATCTAGTTTTAATTTGTGTATCACAACCTAGAGTACATGAATGTTAGGAAATATACACTCACATTAGATGGGTGAATTCCAATGGGTGCATATGCTCCGTTCGTTTTACGACATTGTAGCCTTTCAATATGGATAACATATTTCTTTCGGTACACACGAATAACCTTAGCAGGATTGCAATCCTTTCGTTCACCTCGTACAATCTGCACTTCATCACCTTTGCGGATGGGCATACTCCGAACTTTGTACTTCGATCGGAGCTCCTTTGACAGAGGAGCGCTCATCAGCCGTCGACGAATATGAGAAGGAGCATTGAAGTAACGTTTACGGGCTTTACGACGCGAACTACTGACGAACTTGTTAAACTTCATCTTGGACAACCAATCACGCTCACCAACACAAAATCCCGCCTCGATCTACTAAGGTAGTTGAAGCTACTTTCTTTAGTTCAATTAACAATATTTTGCTTCTGACCGTAAGTCATTCGATACATGGGAATTCTTAAAAATAACCAAAAGCCACATTTCTTTTTTACAGTTTATCCAATTTTGTTTTGGAAATGTCGTAATATGCAAAAGTCAATGTCTTGACTATGAATTAGCCATCAGTGATAAGGAGAGTCGATTAGTTGTAAATTCAGCGAAGATCCATGTTTGGCTAGGGCGTTTAAGCCAAAGGCCACTCAAAATTTAAACTGAATACCACTCTTGACTAATTCTATTGTGGCTTCAAACATTTTCTGATTGACCATGTAGACGATTAGCCTTAGAAACAGTATAATGATAAGAAATGCCAAAGTTTTCACCCTCGGTTTCCCTCAAGTTCTTTCTCATATACATGTGCAATGTTCATTGGTGCACTCTTACCAGAAGTGATCACCAGAGTTTGGCTCTACGACCATATGGCCACTTCGTCCAAAAGACCTCAGCGATCAAAATAATCGATATCATCACTTTTTTTATTTTCGAACTATTAGATCACCTGTGTGTAAGAGCGTCGACTTCGAGAGTTATCTCCATAAATCACCGACACAGGGTAATAATTAATGGTGACTTAAGGTAAAACACTGGGACACACAACTTGCAATAGATTAAGATGTAGATAGTACACTGTTTACTCTGATTTCCCTCCTTCTTTCTCTAAAAAAGATTTTTGTTCTTTCTTATGTAATTCCACCACTTTGTAGTGGTATACTTTTACGAAGAAAACTCGATTATTGTACTTGATTCCTACAATAATTGTTACATTGTACACCTCTTGTTTACCTATACTAAAGACTATCTCGCGAACGCCAAGCGTGTTATTCCCTTTCTCTTCTTCGCACGTCTCCTGCGTGGACGTTAGACGTTTGTACGCCCTCTCCCGACCGAAGCTGCAACCTTGACGTGGTAGTAGGGCTTGCCTATCGTGATAAGCCAACCGAGCTATATTGGTTGGAACAGATGATTCTGTAGGTTCAACTATGCCAGGCAGGTCGATTGGAGAACGATAAAAATAAAAGGAGCTACTCAAGGTTTGGGGGTGAAGTCATACTGCTGACTGCAGAGAGATGTGACAGCAGTAAGGTGTTTCCCTCGGACAACCAGCATCTGCAGCGATGCTACCTTCTCACAAGGAAGGAAGGGTTAGAGAAGGTCGGCCCTAAAAATGTCACACCTCACCCTACCTCACGGATTTCTGTCTCCTTGCGTAAGGGTGCCCACTAAGGGCATTTAAGAGCAGAGCTAATACTCAAAAATCCTTTCATAAAAAGGCCGTGCGTGACCGGCCTCAAGCAGTTGTCCCTTGGGCACTGCGAACACGCTCCCAGGTCTTCAAGACCAACACCAATCTATCTTCCTTTTCAGGTTCCTCTAGAAACAACCTTCCACGGTGTGGGCATCCGGAAAGTGACAACCGACCTCATACCCGTAACAGCACACGAGACCAAATTGTTCAAAATCAAATCCTTCATACACTCCCTAATACCTCTCTTATCTCCACGACTAACTCTTCGCACATTACTTTATCCCACTGCACAGCTAATGCAAACAAAGCGAGTTCATGAAACGTCATTTCTGGTCTGCTGAAACCCCCCCTAACTACATATTGAAGCTTTTAATATAAGGACATTATGTCTGAAATGGCGACAGGCCTCTTTAGCTAGGACATTAGAATCTCGCTCAATCTATGTATGCTGCGTCTCGGAAACGCATAGCGTCATTCATTTGACCTCATCATGTCAAAATAAAGACGCAGCTCAACTTACTATTCGCGTATCCGGCAGCATTGATGCTGCTTCCCGTGGTCTCCCTGGAATAGGTATAGCATTGAGTCGTAGGGCAGAACAATCTCTCCCTGACTGGATCCCAGTAGATAGTCGATTGTGCGCCGTCCAACTAAACGGGACAGTAAGGACTCGGAAAGATAGGGACACCCGTCGTTGCCTCTTCGTCATATCTGCCTATGCCCCCACTGACTGCAGTTCAGACGAGGTGAAAGACAAGTTCTACAGAAAGCATTCGGACCTCCTCCGAAAAGCTAGGCGGTCTGATGTAGTAACAATGGCTGGTGACTTTAATGCTCATGTAGGTAGACTAAGTGAAAATGAAAGACACCTAGGTGGATGTTATGGCGTTGCGGCTCAGAGAACAGACAATGGCTGTAGAATCCCTGTTGAATGTTTTGTGTTTTGGAAAATCCCTCCATGTTTACATATTTTTGTTATGACATGACGGACCTTTTCTGTTGACATTTTTGGTATTTTATTTGATTCCAATTTGAGATTTTATCATTGTATATTGTTATTCTTTCTATATTTTGTACTTATATTGAAGTTTTTATGTTTGCTTCTGAACTGTACATATGTTGTTTAAATTTGATATAATATGGCTACCGCCACATTTTTGGATTCGAGATCGTGCAGTATAGGAGTTCACCTAGACCTCGGAACATTGATACTCGTTCAGAGTAATTTTGAATTGGAAGGCGTAAATTTCGTTAGGTATTGTTTGTATTTCCATTTATTATTTATTAATAGACCATTTTCCCCTAGAATTATTGTGTTTTAAATTCAAAATCGGGAAGTGCGTCCAACATACGTCTATTGGAATCGAATTGAACTGCCACGATAGAAATCCAATTACAATGGCGACCGTCTGTTGCAAGTATGCTCAGATAATCGCCTATTCCGAGCAAACATTAACTTTAGGCATAAGGAAAAGCATCTGTTGACCTGGCGACCCACGACGTCTTCTCAACGTTGGACCCAACTAGATCACATTGCCATCAGCCACCGATGGAGTGGTTCAACAGAGGACTGCCGCTCGTTCTGGGGCACATGTTTAGATTCATATCATGCCCTAGTGCGAGCGCGTATTTGTTTGAGGCTTACTGGGCGTAGGAAAGACACTGTAAGAAAGTCTCTTAGGGTTTTACTTAATGATAATAAAGCTAGGAAAATAGTTCAGGGGAAACTAGAAAAACAGTTAGGCGACCATGCAAAAGATTCCCATCCGGGGGCAGGTTGGAATGATATCAATAAGTCTGTGGAAACAGCAGTGATTTCTGCTAGCAAGGTAAGCCATAAGGCTAGGATAAAGCCGTGGATTTCAGTCGCATCCACCGAACTGATGGATGCTCGAAAACGCATCCCACCTGACTCTGAACATGATGAAGAGCGTAGTCAGCTTAAGCGCAGACTTATAAAAAGCCTACGAAACGATCGAGAACAGTGGTGGGTGTCGAATGCAAAAGCGATTAAAAAGGCCGCGGCGATAGGCAACACTAGATAACTTATACGCCTTATTAAAGAAACCGGTATTAGGAACCCTAATTTGTGTGAGAATATCTCGGAAAAGGATGATCATATTATCCATTCTCAATCCAGGAGATTGAACCGATGGCCAGAACACTTTAGGGATCAGTTCAACTGTCCTGGAGCCACACTTCGGTCCCCCACGATCCCCAGTCATCCTGAATGGCAAATCGATTTAAGTCCTCCCAGTCTACATGAGGTTGAAAAAGCTATAGGAGATCTAAAGGGAGGTAGAGCAGCAGGTCCTGATAAGCTTACCTCTGAGATGTGTAAGGATGGAGGTCCAGTTTTGAAAGCAAGACTGACCGAGATCCTAGGTAGAATATGGGAACTGGACACAATCAAATCGGCCTGGGCTCAATCCCTGATTGTCCCAATCCATAAGAAAGGACACAAGTCTTCTTGTCACAATCACAGGGGAATAAGTCTAACTAATATTGTTTCTAAATTGTTAGCCTCGATTATACTTATATGTCTAACTAGAGCTCGTGAAGAGCAGACTCGAGAAAACCAGGCTGGTTTTCGACCTGGACGTGGTTGTATAGACCACATCTTCACACTACGACAGGTCCTGGAACACAGACACACATTTAGGCGTCCGACAATAGCTGTCTTCCTGGACCTGAAAGCGGCATTCGACTCTGTAGATCTTGAGGTTCTGTGGCAGTGTCTGTCATTGAAAGGTGTACCAAAGAAGTACATTAACCTTATACAAGCTCTCTACTCGAACACCACTGGTCGAGTGAGAGCAAGATTAGAGTTGATCCCGATAAATGGACCGGACATGTGTTACGTATGCCTAACCACCGACTGCCTCGACAAGCTATGTTTTGTGGTGTAGAAGTAGGTTGGAAGAAAGCTATAGACGGCCAGACCAAAACATGGCAGAAATCCATGAAGTCACTGACAAGTGAACTGAGTCATGTTGGTAGAAGTAGACTATCTGGTTGGGGTCCGCGAGACGATAATCACCAATGGTTAGAGACCTTGAACGACATGGCTCAAATTCATTTGCAATGGCGCAAGTGCATCCATTCGTTGAGCTCTCTCAAATCCTAATCTTCTCGATTCGTCAACACCTCTACCTATCTCTTTCTAACCTTATCTTACTGAATTATACTTCTTGAATAATATCTTCAAACCCTAGTTTCCTTCATGACCAATAATACCTCTACTATCTTTATCACTATGGGATTTGATTTGACATTTGCGTCTCTGTGTTAATGCGGTATTGCTTCATGAATTTATGTACATACGTACGAAGTTCTACGTTGCAGCTGACTGACTGACTGACAATGGTAAACCCTACTAGCGGAAATCACTGCTGTTTCCACAGACTTATTGATATCATTCCAACCTGCCCCCGGATGGGAATCTTTTGCATGGTCGCCTAACTGTTTTTCTAGTTTCCCCTGAACTATTTTCCTAGCTTTATTATCATTAAGTAAAACCCTAAGAGACTTTCTTACAGTGTCTTTCCTACGCCCAGTAAGCCTCAAACAAATACGCGCTCGCACTAGGGCATGATATGAATCTAAACATGTGCCCCAGAACGAGCGGCAGTCCTCTGTTGAACCACTCCATCGGTGGCTGATGGCAATGTGATCTAGTTGGGTCCAACGTTGAGAAGACGTCGTGGGTCGCCAGGTCAACAGATGCTTTTCCTTATGCCTAAAGTTAATGTTTGCTCGGAATAGGCGATTATCTGAGCATACTTGCAACAGACGGTCGCCATTGTAATTGGATTTCTATCGTGGCAGTTCAATTCGATTCCAATAGACGTATGTTGGACGCACTTCCCGATTTTGAATTTAAAACACAATAATTCTAGGGGAAAATGGTCTATTAATAAATAATAAATGGAAATACAAACAATACCTAACGAAATTTACGCCTTCCAATTCAAAATTACTCTGAACGAGTATCAATGTTCCGAGGTCTAGGTGAACTCCTATACTGCACGATCTCGAATCCAAAAATGTGGCGGTAGCCATATTATATCAAATTTAAACAACATATGTACAGTTCAGAAGCAAACATAAAAACTTCAATATAAGTACAAAATATAGAAAGAATAACAATATACAATGATAAAATCTCAAATTGGAATCAAATAAAATACCAAAAATGTCAACAGAAAAGGTCCGTCATGTCATAACAAAAATATGTAAACATGGAGGGATTTTCCAAAACACAAAACATTCAAAAAGGATTCTACACCGGCCCGCAAAATCCCTCCATGCAAAAAGCAAGCGTTAATGACACTTCTATTTAGGGTTCCCAGTTATCCCCTAATCCACACCGGAAGAACGTGTAGGACTTACAGCAGTACGCCTACCCGCCATCCAACATGGATATGACCTATCATGCTAACTAGGTACCTATACTTTCCCATCAGGCCCTTGATTCCCCTATCTATCGTGGCATGACCTAACGGTAGTATAAACCTTACCCAATTAACCCACACGAACATGTACAACACGTCGTAAAACTGGTCATATCCTATCCGGGAACTACATTCCCTATCATGGGGACGAGTCGCCAATCCACCACCACTTGCTCCGATCAGCAGATACAATGAAGTCCGGGATGCTGACTTATCGACAGAAATTCTTGACCCATAAATAATATGCAAGGGTGGGATCTCCAATTTTGACATTTCATCGTCTGCAGAAGACTTTAAGTAGCATAACGTGGGATCAATATTTATCTCTCCATTATGGCTGCAGCAATATTTCGAATTGATACTTCGAGAGTAACGGACTGGAAGCACTTACTCTTCGAGAAACGGATAACCATCGCGGTAATTTGGAACTCGATGGTGTAATATTGTTTTGAACCGTTTTCTCCCAGAATTATTGATTTTTTGTCCCTGATCTGGGTGAAAACGTATCAACCTGCACCTGTTGGAGCCTGGAGTGAACTGCAAGAGTAGAAAGTCAATTATACTGTACGCAGAAAACCAATTTAGCCTAACAAATTAAACTCTTGTTGTTACTCCTATATTTAGGTCAAACACTGGTGCCTTGGCCGTTTCAATTGATTTTACAAGTGTTTTAAGTATCATCGTACTTTTTCGCTATCCGAGCAAGATATTATTTATCTAAGAGAAAACGAGTCTTCTGTAGCTAGAAAATCAATCGACAAAGATCACAAAGTTATAGTGTTCCTAAGTAAGATGTAAAATCCAGTCATAAAGCTAAGTTATCTTAATAAAAACGCATTATAATGATGATTCACGGTATTCCACAAGGTATTGAACTACCTGTAAGAGAATTTGAAGATCTGTCATTTGTATCTGACGATCCGAATTTGACTTTCATTAATTGTGGGTGATACGCTACAAAATCAAGTTGGAGAAAAAAAACTAATGAACAGATAAAGAAGGGAGGACCGTCTCGTAAAACAAAAGACTGGTAAAAATATGCTGGAGGAAAGGTGAAAATGCTAATGTTTGGTTACATAAACTGTTTAAGATGTTTGTTTGGTAGGCGGAACAAAGAAATTTCTCAGTAAAAGGTATCAGGAGACATTATTATTCCAACACTCTAACAAGGCCTTGTGTATTACTGGTAGATATAACGAAATAAAGATGGCTCCAACTGGATTTTACGATGATAGAAATAGCTTGTGACTAGTTAGTTTTCCAGTGGTCAAATCGTAGAAGAAAATTATAGTCAGACATGTATGCATAATCTATTCGCCTTAAACGTTTCGGACATTAATATGTATGGTTTAGAGACTAAGTGCAATAAACCAGGGCAGTTAACTGCCTTGTTTGGAACATCCATCATATCCCTGGAGTAAAGGTAATTGTAACTGATATGTGACTATAGGGGATTTTATATCTCCGTATATAAATACAGAAATAGTAGGCCGCTAATGTCCGTGATGAACCGTACCATACTATAACGTAGTTATCAAGGCGTCGTTAAACTGTTTCAAAATATGTGGTGTAGTCGATGATCAGAAATAACTGCCTAAATGCGAAGTAAGCGAAAAGTTGGTTGCGGAGTTTGTCACTGCAGCGAGATGGTCGATTAAGTATTGCGGGCATTCCTCATGGTAAAGGTTGCAAAGATAGATTTCTTTGGCTTCTTTGAAATTACTTGGAGAAAGGGATGTCACATATCAAATTAAAAGGGTTCTGACTAGCAGTATTGTTTTGTTATTATGAGTCTCGAAAGCAACTGCTTTGGGGTTCACTTCTCCTCATGATCCTCACTAATAACCCTGAAGATAAGATTGGCTCAGCTTTACTAATCTATGTGGATGACGTAACTATATGGGGGTCTTTACGAAGCAAAACTACTTACGTGAGCTTTTATGGGACTTAGGGCCAGTAACCACATAGACTCCTCCTCTAGCTCCATAAAGAACAAGACCAAAACAACCACAATTTTCCATTTCAAGTGGTGAAAAATCGTCACAATCATCCAGGATCTATTTTCGATAGTGTTTAAGAACTGCTCAAGGCCACAACTCGCGATCAACCATATTGTCGCAATGACAGTCTCATAGAAAGATAAGAAATATTGTGGGTGATTGGGCTAAGGAATAAATCTTTGGAAGACATACTCGGACGCCACGATTATTTTCAGTGAGCAAAATACGAATGAAGTGCTCTAAATAATCAAAATACAAACGTCCTACCAGAAAATCATCACCACTCTGTCCAAGGAAACACCCAAAGGTTGTATATTCATGACTGAAAACCCAAGTACTCTCTCACTTATTCTCAGTATGATTTTATCCTAGTGGGATGATCTCTCAACACAGTGGATAGTTTCAAGACGGGATTTGAGAAAAACAAGAACTCGCTGGCATGGCACACCCATAACCTAGCAATCGAGAATCGAACCCAGGTCCTTCGATCTCTCATCTGAAAGGATGATTGTCATGTGCTAATCAATGGCTAGTTTTGTGGGGATATTCTCGAGGTCTTAATGAGAAGCCGTAACTGGTGGGGTTGAGCTGTATCGGGAGTAAAGTAGTTACACACCAATGAAAACTGACGAGCTCGCGCAAAGTCGTGAATGATTGAAGTTAGATGTTAATAGCGACTCAGTGGTCAAAATTTTTGCAGTTCATGTGCGAGAACGGGAGTCTTTGTGTCGATTCCCGATGGTAGGGATCGGGGATGCACACTATTGCTTAGTACCATATTGGGATGAAACGACGATCCAGCGCTTTCAGGTTTTCAGTGGTGTTCAAATACTGACTGATTCACGATTACAATGAATTTTCACTATATACGCAATCCAATACTAACAAACATGTACTCATACATTTCTCACATGAACCAACTGTGCCTGACCAACGTTTTATAGTCCTTTACTGTTGCCATAATCAACTATCATTGATTAAATTTGGTCTCACTTACTGTCATATCTTTTTTTCGTTTTACTTTACACTTTAGTCTTCTTACTATGTCTGCAGCACTAACTCATTTACAGATTTAATTAGTTCATGAAACAATCGTCTTCTCTGAACATTAGAATTTTCTCCCCAATAGTTTCCACTTTGCAACTAAGCTGCCGTCCTGATTGTTAATGTGGTAGCAGTTGCTATGCGGAATCTCAGATAAAAGCATTCACTCAGATCCCAAGAGATACAAACCCAAAAATAGTTAAAAAATTGGCTAGAATTAGTTCAGTCAAGTGGTTAAACTGCCATCCATTGAGGATTACTAAATACCTGAGGCAGTGTCGAGAAAAGAAGCGGTCACAAAAAGTTAATCGTTTTATGCTAGTTTATGTAAAGGATATTGGATATTGGACAATGGGTATTGGTTCACTATTGTAATTTCGCGGTCTGGTCCATCGAGCTCTAATCAAATTCTCATACCGATTCGTATCATGATTCAGGCTACACGTAAGGCTGTAGGCCTTGCTCGCAGCTTCACCTATTGGAATGCATCTCGAGGATTTTCGTTTACTCCCGTTGCTTCTGCTGTAAGATGAGATCCAAGATAATTTTCTTTACATTCAGAGTCTGAAAGACATAATGGCTGACTTAATACCTAAAGAACAAGCAAAAGTATCCGCTTTTAGGAAACAACACGGATCCACAAAAGTTGGTGAAGTTACTGTGGATATGGTTAGTCGAGACGCTTACTAAATTGTATATCATGTCTAGATGTATGGTGGTATGAGAGGTATCAAGGGTTTGGTCACCGAGACGTCCGTACTGGATGTCAATGAAGGCATTCGGTTTCGTGGCCTTTCAATCCCAGATTGTCAGAAACAGCTTCCGAAAGCTTCTGGTGGACGTGAACCACTTCCAGAGGGCATCTTCTTTCTTCTATTAACAGGAAAGGTACCAACTAAAGCTCAAGTAGATGACATTTCAAAAGAACTTGCAAATCGAGCTGACCTCCCATCTCATGTTTTAAACATGCTGGATAATTTTCCATCATCTCTTCATCCTATGAGCCAACTGGTAGCAGCTTGTGCCGCTCTGAATTCGGAATCAAAGTTTGCTCAAGCCTATTCACAAGGTATCAAGAAAAGTCAGTATTGGGAGGTAAGCAGTTATTTTGAGCAGTACATTATCTGTGTCTTTTGAAGTTGCTCACCAAAAATAAATAAGTAGAAGCAGATTCCTATCACAATCTCATGCATATTTAAAGTGACTAACACGAGCAATTCAAGATCTGACAATACTGCCATTTTATTATTTCAAAAAACAAGTTATTCACAAGGCTTTGGAGATGTAGTACGTACGTTATAACATCTTTCAAGCTGTCAATCGTCCCATAGTTTCATATTGAGGATTTTTGTGTTTATCAACCAGAACTATTGCATTTAACAGGTCTTAATTTATTTACAACGGACTTTTAAAGGTAATATATTTTTTGAATGTGACTTATAACTATGCAGAGGTTTATGTACTGATCTTTGAGTCATGGCATGCTCGGACAAGTTTGTTGGAAGTTAGAGGATTTAACCACAATGTATTCCTGAGCTGTTGCTACAATTCAATTTCCTGCGGATAGTGAACAAGTGGCTAAACCTTAGTGTGTTTCGCTGATGTGTTTATGTATCTAAACCAGCTCAACATAATGATGGCTGGCGGGTTTTCTCATCATGACCTGTTATCTTGTCTATTTGTTGCTGATCTCTGATAACTTGCGTCCTTATCCTTATTCGAACCTGTTAGGACTGTTCCAGAACCTAAACATTATTTGGAGGTTCATTTCTCATTGTTGGAATGTGGGATATTTTTAACCTCATCTGTTTGTATAAAAGTGCGCAGTCGTATGAATAATTCAGGTGTAGCATTGTCTAAGTGAAATGATTTCTCGTTCCACCATGTAAATAGATATTGCTGCTTATCACTGTCTCTTGGAAAACAATGACTATTGTTTTTTTTTATTGTTTCAAAAGTATGTTTACGAGGATTCGATGGATTTAATCGCCAAACTTCCAACTGTTGCTGCTATAATTTACCGTAATTTGTATCGCGATGGTACATCTGTTACTGCCATCGACTCCAACACGGACTGGTCTCATAATTTTTGCCGTATGCTTGGTTATGAGGATCCTGGCTTTACCGAAATGATGCGTCTTTACCTAACCTTTCACTGTGATCATGAGGTAAGGCTTTTTTTGGTGTGTTTTTTATCACATCTGGTAGTTTATTCCGTTCGTACTTCAGCCCTGTTGATATAACTCATTTCCCATGTACGTAACCATTCACTTGGGGTTATGAAGTACAGTGTTTCTGATGGACTCCGACCCTCAACCTGGTTGTTCAAAGTCGAGCATCTGGATAACTAACCTGTCGTTCCACCGATTAGCTATAGTTTACGGCCATAAGTGGGGAACCTAATTATCATCTTGTTTTGAATTACCTAACGTAAATATCTAGTATCCCCGTTATGTACGTTACTAAGCCTAATGTTACGTTTATTAAAGTTTCTGTCTCGTATTGATTTACTCGTATTGTTTTACTATAAACTAGCCAGTAGACATAGTGTCATGGCTACTCGAAACAGCATTTTTTTATCCTAAAATTAATGTAAAAATGATTAGTCATGCAGTACACTAGTTTTTTGCTTCAATTAATTAGTATTGATTAGCTTCTCGAGCAGTTTTAGAAAAAAACCCACACTTTTTCTATTGTTATCATTAATCGCCGTGATGTTATGTGTTCTGTTACTTATTTTCCACTTCCCTATCGTTAATTCCAATTGTAAATTACAAAAATTATGAACACAGTGAAATATTTTGCGTTGGTGATACCATTGAAGCTGCATATAAGCCTAATAAATGCTTCAGTCAGTCAGTTGCAACGTAGAACGACGTACGTATGTACATAGGTTCATGTTGCCATACCACATTATCACAAAGATTAAGATTTGAGAGAGCTCAAAGAATAAATGCACCGGCGCCATTGCAAACGATTTTGAGCCATGTCATTCATAATAAGTGCTTGAACATGTATCACGAATCCTCACAGGAAATATAACAGTTTATACTACTTGTTGTATTTTTTTGTTATCAGTTCTCTGTCTACTCAATTAACCTCACGTAACTACTAATTCATCGTTCTACTTGGTTCTCTTCTACTGCTTTCTGTTTAAATAACTCTTTGAAAATGAATTCACATCGAATGCATTTTTTATCTTAATCTTGATTAATAAGCTGCAAAGTTTTTTTCTTTTCTATACAAAATGGCTAACGAAATCTACGCAATACAGAGTTATAACATCAGTTCCTAATTCCTAGCGTACATTATTATAAAAAGTAAATTTAAGTAGTTAATTCGGTAAATGTTTTTTATTTATTGTGGGCATGCTATAAACTTATCCTTTTAAAAGTTTTCCCAGCATAGAACTTGTTGCGAATGTTTTTAAATCCTCTTCTACATGCTAAATCATATATGACATTCTCAAATTTAAACCTGACTACACTAACCAACAAACAAAACGACAAATTACTGAGCTGTATTTTTTTCCTTCCTGATGCTATCACAAAAACAATAATTTCATCTTAAAACTTTCTTATTAGGGTGGCAATGTGAGCGCACATTCGTGTCATTTGGTGGGTAGTGCACTTTCCGATCCATACCTTAGTTTTGCCGCGTCTATGTGTGGCTTAGCTGGACCTTTACATGGATTGGCTAACCAAGAGGTATTAATTTTCCTGAATAAAATGCAAGAAAAAGTCGGTAAGAACCCAACAGACGAACAAGTGAAACAATATGTGTTGGACACATTAAATGCTGGACAGGTTAGTTCTGTGATATTAATTCATTCCCATATTTATTGTTCACTTTGATAATATATTAACAGTTAAATAATTTCTGTATTTCAAATGGTCCATTTTAACCTAACCTCTACGTAGATAATCACAACTGTGTGCTGTCCATTTTAAATTGGAGCACTTTGTAGATTGATGATTTTTAAGTTCAATTAGAGGAATGCATGTTAATTCTTTTTTTTTACATTCCTGCTCTAATTGTTTGGGAAAGGCTATTCAGTGTTTCTGTATAACAGAGATATTTTATTCTCAGATTTGCATCACTATCCCATTAGTTTTTGAGCATCATTATGAATCCTAACCTTAAAATTTTCGGAACTATGTTAGCTAAGTTAAAACTCTTTGTTACCAATAACGAGACCTAATGAAACTGATCAGTAGTTGATAGTTAAGTAATCTGTTAACCGTAAATACTCTATATTGTTTCGTAGTAATTCAGTTCTAATGAAAGTTGACTAATACTAAGTACCCTTTTTTCAAACTATTACTAGATCGTAAACAATTAGAAGGTAGCTGAAGAGTTTGTTGAGCTGCTTCGTGCATGTTATTTGTTGTCACTTATATAGTGTAGTAATTTATTGATAAATTCTAATTGTGTAAATCTTTTGTCAGTTAGCACTGACTGATCATTTTTACGATTAGAAGAAAAGAAAATGTACTATTAGCGTATTTGTCAAATGTATTAGCAGCTTTTATCTTTGAAGAAAAGTCACCTTTATGCATTATTACATATCCATTTTGTTTATATGTGCTTACTTACACGGCTCTTTAGTCTTCAGGAGAATCTAAACAAATTCTGTTTCTTCAATACATGCATATCACACTGGTGATGACACTGCAGATCCTCTAGAATGGTTTATAATGTCAAATTCATCTAATATTTGTTCATTTAGCTGTTGTTTTCTTATGAATTAGAAGCGTAATGTTAGTGTATATGATGGCATGAGATACTAGTGTTTTAATGTTTTTTTTTTCCAAATTAAGGCAGTATAAAAGAATGAGGTGTTTGGTGCTATTCTATAACAGATAAAATAAACGCGAGAAAGGTTTTTTGGTAGTGTAGGAAAGATTGTTGAAGGAAATACAATCAAATAGTTATTTTCTGATGGACTTTCATTGAATACTCAAGTGCTACTAGGGAAATAATGATTCTTTGCTTTTGTTACATCGGTTTATCTTGAGGAATCTTAAAGTAGAAACCAGAATTGATGATCTGATCGATGCGAGATTTGATGCACCGTCGGTCAGTCAGTCAGTTGCAACGTAAAACTTCGTACGTATGTACATAAGTTCATGTTGCCATACCACATTATTAGCACAGAGACGCAAATGTCAAATCAAATCCCATAGTGATAAAGATAGAAGAGGTATTAATGGTAATGAAGAAGACTAGGGTTCGAAGATATTATTCAAGAAGCATAATTCAGTGAGATAAGGTTGGCAAGACAAAGGTAGATGTGTTGACGAATCGAGAAGATTAGGATTTGAGAGAGCTCAAAGAGTGGATGCACTTGCGCCATTGCAAACGATTTTGAGCCGTGTCGTGCAAGGTCTCTAACCATTGGTGACTTTCGTCTCGCGGACCCCAACCAGGTAGTCTACATCTACCAACATGACTCAGTCCACTAATCAGTGACTTCATGGATTTCTGCCATGTTTTGGTCCGGTCGCCCATAGCTTCCTTCCAACCTACTCCTACACCACAAAACATAGCTCGTCGAGGCAGTCGGTGGTTAGGCATACGTAACACATGTCCCAACCACCTCAACTGATGAAGTTTCAATACTTCATCTATTGATCTGCCATCCTTACCTAGTACTCGTTTCCTAACGACAGCTTTGCTTACTCGGTTGTCCCACGATATACGAGCAATGCTTCTTAAACATCTGTGATCGAATAGTAGTAACCTACGAACATCTACTCTTATTGGCCATGTTTCGCATCCATGTAGGAGAACGGAGCGAACTGCCGCGCAGTACACCCGCCCTTTGGTTAGCGAACGGATATCACGCCTACTCCATAAGTGACGCAGGTTGGAAAAAGCCAATCGAGCTTTCTGTATCCGAGCTGAGATTTCGTCAGTCACCAGGCTTTCAACATTGATGAGACTCCCCAGATAAGTGAAGTGATCAACACGCTCGACTACTTCACTCCCTATCACTAGTTCAGGTGCCGATGAAACCCAGTCTTGAAGCAACATTTTGCATTTCGTGGGTGAGAACCGCATCCCGAACATGCTTGCATTGTTGCTTATGGTAGTCAGAAGACTGTGCATGTTGTCAGCGTCTTCACCGAATAGAACTATGTCGTCGGCATATTCTAGATCAGTAAGCGATTTTCCTGGTAGGTCAACCCCTGAAAAATCTGACGAGGGTAATGTTAACTCTAAGAGAATGTCTACGACAAAGTTACATAAGAATGGAGAGAGTGGACAGCCCTGACGGACACCACTTGAAGTAAAGAATTCCGATGACGGTTCGCCATATGCTGTCACTCGACCAGTGGTGTTCGAGTAGAGAGCTTGTATAAGGTTAATGTACTTCTTTGGTACACCTTTCAATGACAGACACTGCCACAGAACCTTACGATCCACAGAGTCAAATGCCGCCTTAAGGTCCAGGAACACGACTATTGTCGGACGTTTAAATGTGTGTCTGTGTTTTAGGACCTGTCGTAGTGTGAAGATGTGGTCTATACAACCACGTCCAGGTCGAAAACCAGACTGGTTTTCTCGAGTCTGCTCTTCACTAGTTCTAGTTAGACGTCTAAGTATAATCGAGGCTAACAATTTAGAAACTATATTGGTTAAACTTATTCCCCTGTGATTGTCACAAGAGAACTTTCGTCCTTTCTTGTAGATTGGGAGAATTAGCGACTGAGACCAGTCAGATGGGATGCACGATGCACGGAGACTTTTGAATAGAAGTGTAGCTCACATCACTACAAATCCACTTTTTTTAAAAATATAATAGAATAATCTGAATTTACTTGGTTAGTGGGTGGTAAGTGCTGTTGGGTGTGTAGTCACAAAATTAGTACTGAAATTTGCATACATTTAGTGTCAGTTACTCTATTAGTTACAGTAAAATCAATCAATAATCAAGGCCATGTTCATACGTTTGTGTTTTCCATTTAATGTAACTTATTTATATATATGCCTATTGATTTTTTTGTCATTAATTAGTTTATATCCTCTTGACAGGTTATTCCAGGTTATGGTCATGCAGTACTCAGAAAGACTGATCCTAGATTTACTTGTGCACAAGAGTTTTGTGAAAGGCATTTTCCAAATGATCCTTTGTACAAATTAGTTGGTCAATTGTATAAAGTTGTGCCTCCAATTTTGACAGGCCTTGGTAAAGTTCAAAATCCATGGCCTAATGTAGATGCTCATAGTGGTGTATTACTGCAGGTAAAAAGTCAAGTGCTGTTTGTTTTTTGTTGATTGGAACATGTAAATTCTCAAATTTGTCTCTTTTTTTTCACACTGATGAATAGACTAAGTTCTCTTTTTCTCGTAACACGATAAATTTATGCAATTAGACAGAGAATTTCAAAAGTCAGACCCCCCCCATATAAAACCACAGTGGCTATTGATTTCTCGGATTATATTGTGAGAAAATATCGCAATCGACTTTATCTTTACAGCAACCGTAGCCTAATCCAATTTTAATTTCCGAAAACAGAAGATGAAACTCTTCATATTCCTCTAAATTTGGTGAACACTGTAGTAGTAGATGGTTGCTCTAAAATCATATGTTTATAAAAGGTTTTTAAGTAGGTCGGTGTCAGTTATATCGGCTTAAAATGATGACTAGTAACTATCTCATATCTTTGGAAGTTAGATCAAATATGAAAAGCAACTTACTGTATCAGGGATTAATGTGTGATGATTTCAAGTAAAATGTTCAAAGGAAACTTGTATAATAGTCAGACTATGGAGAAACTGCTGAGATGTTAATGTACATCATTCTTCTCTCATACATAATAAGGAATCAATCTTAAGCTGATGATGTTGTTGTTATTAGATTAATGATTAAGTTTTGCTGATATAGAATAATGGATAGAATGTAACTAGCAGTGAAATACAGGACGCACGTTCCGTCCTGTTTGGGACTCATCAACTGGGATGTACTACCTGCATTCCAGAGTTGTTGTTGATGTTCACTCCGGGACTTGAACACACAGTACCGTTCGCTTCCTAACACCATTGCGTTATCCACATCTAGCCACTGAATCCAGCCAGATAGATAGCCACTCACTTACTTATCCAACAGATATGAGATTTAATTCAATTTGAATTGATTTGAATTCCATTATTAGCCACACTCTTCCTATGATATGTAAACTTTGGTTTACTAAAGGCGCTCTATCAAGACAATCCCGACATAGAGGTGGATGTCCATATTCCAACAAGGACTGATCGAAACTCAGTCGAACAACGGGATAATTCCAAACTATTTCAAATTAAGTCTTGCTTTTTCGTCGAAGCAACAAAATGTATATATATTGTCTTAAATTTGAATTACCAAGTGATTCAGTTACATTTTTACTTTCATTCATAATCTATCTCCGATGTTGAGTAGTAGTAGTAGTACATCTCACACTTGTTCAATAATTGCGTTAAGAAATTTATGTTTCTAGTCATGTCATTCCCTATATTGACTTTACTAATTGTTAGGATATTCATCAAATATCCTAAGAGAATTATTTTTGGGAGTTTAATTCTATATTGACCGATTCCTATTGGTCAATATTATGATCGTCCTAACTATCAATGTCACATACTTCAATGTTGTTTCTTATTCGATCGAACTACATAAATATGCATTATCTGTAGCGTTTTGTGGTGCGGACCCGAATCCCTAGTCCGGGATCCTGATTCTCCTCTGGATTCGTATCTCGTACTTTATGGATGCTTGTAGAGTACAGGTTCTACTTCATATCAAGTCTTCTTCTTCCACTCAGTGGGGGTTGGGACACTCGGATTAGAGTAGTCTGTCGTGTCGCCGCCGGTCCTCGATCCTCACTCTTGTTTTCCGACTAAGGTAAACTCGTAATAAATAGTTCAGGCATCTCAAATGACATGTTTACGTGGATACGTAACACTATTCTATCGTGAAACATTCGTAACTACGAAAACATTTTCATGATGAAATTCCAACACCTGTTCATTCATTGCATCTTCTTCTATTCATGGTGATGATAATGTCAGTCAGTCAGTCAGTTGCAACATAGAACTTCGTGCGTATGTACATAAGTTCATGTTGCCATACCACATTAGCACAGAGACGCAAATGTCAAATCGAATCCTATAGTGATAACGATAGTAGAGGTATTAATCGTAATGAAGAAGACTAGGGTTCGAAGATATTATTCAAGAAATATAATTCAGTGAGATAAGTTTAGAAAGACAAAGGTAGAGGTGCTGACGAATCCAGAAGATTAGGATTTGAGAAAGCTCAACGAATGGATGCACTTGCGCCATTGCAAACGATTTTGAGCCATGTTGTTCAAGGTCTCTAACCATTGGTGACTTTCGTCTCGCGGACCCCAACCAGGTAGTCTACATCTACCAAAATGACTCAGTCCACTAATCAGTGACTTCATGGATTGCTGCCATGTTTTGGTCTGGCCGCCCCTAGCATCCCGCTTCGGTCGGGTAATGTCTAGGTTTAATAGTTTCGGGTTTGTGCTCATTCGTCGTCAAGTAAATTCGAATTTTGATGTGAGTTTTTCTAAATTTTTTTTGTAATTTAAAACTATAGTGAGATTATTTTTATTTCAATTCTATTTTTTTTTAGCATTATGGCCTTACTGAAATGCAGTACTACACAGTACTGTTTGGTGTTTCACGAGCCTTAGGTGTATTGGCTTCATTGATTTGGGATCGAGCATTAGGTTTACCAATTGAACGACCAAAATCTTTATCTACCGATGCATTAATGAAGTTGATTAATGATAGTGCACGTAAACAAGGTTAATAAACAATGTTTATTCTTCTTAGCAAGAAGCACTTTCAGGACGTTCACATTTCTCCACTTTCTAGTATTGTCTGTCTACTTTCAAATTAAACACAACTAACTAACTAATCACCATCATCATCATCATCATTAATATCATAATCTTAGTTAGTCAAAACTATTTTTTGGTTTTTTTTTCCATTTCCCGTCTCTTGCTCTCTCTCTCTCTCTCTTAGTCTCTTACTCTTCTTAACTAACTAACTAACTAACTATATTGTTATTATTATTATTATTGTTCTTTACAATTAAAAGAAAGAGATTTTTTTTCAGACAGTCAACCAACCAATTTATGTATGTGGTTTCTTTTTGTGTCATTTGTAGAATTTACTCTAGAAATAGAAAATTATCTTTAGTATACATAAATATATATATATATAAATATATGCTCAAGAATGAAGTATGTGTCTGTTTACGCAAAAATGTCTATCTGTCTATCCATCTATCTAGATATATATCTCTGTCGATATGTATTTAATAAAATAATTTCTGCGACAGTAATTCGTTTTTTAGTTTTGTTTTGTTTTGCTTATCCTGTTACATTTTTTACACGTGTAGTAGTATGTAAGCGCATCCATCATGTGCTGTTGATGTTGTGTGTGTGTGTGTGTGTCAGTCAGTCAGTTGCAACGTAGAACTTCGTACTTAAGTACATCAGTTCATGTCGCCATACCACATTATTAGCACAGAGATATAATTGTCCATTCAAATCCAATAGACTAGAAGAGGTAGGAAAGGTATTAGAAGTAATCGGAGAGGTTAGGATTAGAAGATATTATTCAAGAAGTATGATTAAATGAGAAAAGTTTAGAAAGTCAAAACTAGACGGGTTGAAGAATCCAGAAGATTAGGATTAGAGAGAGAACACAAAGAATAAATGCACCGGCGCCATTGCAAACGATTTTGAGCCATGTCATTCAAAGTCTCTAACCATCGATTATTATCATCTCGCGGACCCTAACCAGATAGTCGACAATTACCGATATGGCTAAGTCCACTAGTCAATAACTTCATGGATTTGTGCCATGTTTTGGTTTGGCCGCCCCTAACTTTCTTCCAACCTATTCCTACACTACAAAACAAAGCTCGACGAGGCAGTCGGTGGTTAGCCATACGTAACACATGTTCCAACCACCTCAACTGATGAAGTGTGTAACTAAAAAGAAACTAAAGAAATGCGTTAGATATGTGAATAACTTCATTCCATCATGTAACTCAACTCATCACTACTCCACTATCCTTGAACAGATCATTCTAATCGGATTTTAATAACTGCATTTTATTAACTCTAGGGCACTCTAAGGCCAATATGTAGGCTACCTGGTTTGGGGTCCGCGCGAGACGAAAGTCACCAATGGTTAGAGACCTTGAATAATGACATGGCTCAGGTGCATCCAGTCTTTGTATTCTCTCTAATTCTAACCTTCTGAGTATTCCTGATCATCTCTATCTTTGTCTTTCTAAATTTATCTTACTGAATCTTATCTTCGCTCCCTAATCTTCTCCGTTGCTGCTAATAATTCTACTATCGCTATCATTCTTGGATTTGTACTGACAGTTGATGTGGTATGGCAACACTGAACTAATGTATTTACGTACGAAGTTCTGCGTTGTATCTGTCTGTCTGTGTAAGACAAGTGTTACGGGTTTCGCGTTTGCAGCAACAGGAAAAACTAGTTGAGAACTAATTGAATTTGTTTGATGATTTAAACAGCTACATTTTCTTAATATTATACAATGTTGTACTTCTAACCCAATTAATATAAATGTTTGCTATGCACAGTGTGTATATATATATATATATATATATATATACTATATATATATACACATAATCTTAATCACTGAAATCAAGTGGTTTCAATTATCTCATCTGATAGTCTTTCATGTGTTTTATGCCTGATTGTTGTGTAATCAATAGTTTCAGTAGTGATAGTTAGTTTGTCAAAATTTAATACAATATAAATATTGTACTTCAGTAACTGTCAGTTTTCACAATATTTTTTTTTTGAATGATTTTGAGTGAATAACTCTGTCATTAGGAAACGGGTTCTAGGTAAGAATGGCAGATCAATTGATGAAGTAATGAAACTTCATCAGTTGAGGTGGTTGGAACATGTGTTACGTATGCCTGACCACCGACTGCCTCGTCGAGCTATGTTTTGTAGTGTAGGAATAGGTTGGAAGAAAGTTAGGGGCGGCCAAATCAAAACATGTTAGAAATCCATGAAGTCATTGACTAGTGGACTTAGCCATGTCGGTAGTTGTTGACTACTTGGTTGGGGTCCGCGAGATGATAATAATCGATGGTTAGAGACCCTGAATGACATGGCTCGAAATCGTCTGCAATGGCGCCGGTGCATTTATTCTTTGTGTTCTCTCAAATCCTAATCTTCTGGATTCGTCTGCACCTCTACCTTTGTCTTTCTAAACTTATTTCACTGAATCATACTTCTTGAATAATATCTTCTAATTCTAACCTCTCTGATTACTTTGAATACCTTTACTACCTCTACTACTATTGGATTTGAATTGACAATTGCGTCTCTGTGCTAATACGGTATGGCAACATGAACTTATGTACGTACGTACGAAGTTCTACGTCGCAACTGACAACTGACTTGTACTTCAGTAACTTTTAAAAATTGGGTTATATCTGTGATATTTAGTTAGTATAACAGATTTAAATGATATCAAAACAACATATATATAAGCGAACAAGCTTGTTGTTTTCGATTAGATCGTCATTAAGCTTTACTTGAATATTTATGATGAAAATGTTAAACCAACTACTTCAAGACAATTATTTATGAGTCAATAATCACAATACTTTAAGTCAGAAGCTGAAATTTATCAACAACTCACTAACCGAGATCGGCTACCCTAGTGCATTTCTAAAGAAGTATATGTATAATCTAAAGAAGCAGCTGGAGACTCCGACCGTTCGAAAGATGCCTTTATTTATTTATTAAATTACAATTCAACGGAGATGTGGCCTGTGATACTCTGCAGGACAGATTAACGATAGTAATAAGTAGGACACATTCAACAAAGCCAAACTTGCGTTGAGTCAACCAGCGTTGTCTACCCAAACGAAGGATTAGTTACCTGAGTTGTCCTCCTCTATGTACATTTACAAATTCAGCTGCTCCTGTGGAGATAGCTATATCGGGCAACTTAACCAACGAATGCGTGAACATTTCCGGGCATGGTTTATGAAGCAGTTCTATCTTAACATACCAGGTTGATAGTGGTTATATTGTAGTTAAGTCTACATCTTTTCGAGTGATCTATCGTATACCTCAATCATTTCCCAACGGAGTCCGATCCCGTCTCCTACACATAGCAGAAGCCATAGGAATTCGTACATTCAACCTCAATTTGTGTGTTCAGAATAAATTTGTGTCACTCCTATCTCTTCCGTAGCTGGATATAACTTTACTAACGTTTACAATTATTTTCACACCCTGTATTTGTTGGTAGTTTCCTGCCTCTTTCCGTTTATATTCTTCACTATCTACTTATGTACACACTTCTTATTATGTGATGGTTTTAATGTTTTGTCATGATGATGACCTACTA